GTGGTGGGGGAGGAGGAGGGGGAGGCGGAGGTGGGGTTGTGGGTGCAGCAGCAAGTGCAGCAACGGCAACAGCAGCAACTGCAGCAGCAGCAGCAGCAGCAGGAGGGGGAGCAACAGCAGCAGCAACAGCAGCAGCAGCAGCAGCAAATATAACAGAGCAGCTAAATAAACGTTTGCTTCCTGTCTTGGTGGTTGCAGCAGAAATCATAGAAAAATATATTCTGCTGCTGCCTGCTGCAGCAGCAACACAGATGGTATCTACACTAACCCTCATTGCTGCTAGCCCTCTTGCTGCTCCTGCTGCTGCTGTTCGAGCTGTACATACACTCGAAGCTGCTGCTAGCGCTCTCCTTGAATTAGAGGATAGCCAACAGCAGCAGCAGCAGCAGCAGCAGCAGCAGCAGCAGCAGCAGCAGCAACTGCAGCAGCAGCAAGAGGGAAGCTCGGAGGCAGCTCCAGCAGCAGAAGCTGCTTCAGATCGAGATAAAGACAACCATGCGCTTGCTGCTGCTGCTGCTGCACGCGGCCAAAGTGCTGCAGCAGGAGCAGCAGCACCTGCAGCACCTGCAGCAGCAGCAGCAGCAGCAGCAGCAGAGGAGAAAGCAGCAGGCGGTGCTGTGAATTTTCCTGTCTTTGTTTCAATCATTTTAGCTCTGGGGCAGCTGGCGTGCAGACCGGGCGGTGCAGCAGCAGCAGCAGCAGCAGCAACAGCAGCGACAACTGCTGCTCTTGCTGCTGCACCTGCAGCAGCAACACCAACAACTGCAGCAACAACATCAGCAGCAGCAGCTGCTGCTGCTGCTGCAAGGCCCATTCACCCTGCTGCTGCGCGTTACGCCCCCCGCACAGCGCCTCAAGCGCCCGGTGCAGCAGCAGCAGCAGCAGCAGCAGCAGCAGCACCAGCAGCAGCAGCAGCAGAAGATGATGGCGTCGATAGAATGCTGAAAAGCAGCAGAAATAATACAACAGATCGCCGGGGGGCAGCGCTGGCTTCCCTCTTCCGTCTGCTGCTGCAGCACGGGGGCCGTCTTGCTGCTGCGAAAGCCCCAGCTGCTGCTGCTGCTGCTGCAGCAGCAGCAGCAGCAAGAACAACAACTGCAGCAGCAGCAGCTCGGGATCAAGGGACAAAAGAACCGTGCAACGACCAGCAGCAGCAACAGCAACAGCAGCAACTGCAGCAGCAGCAACTGCAGCAGCAGCAGCAGCAACTGCAGCAGCAGCAGCAGCAACTGCAGCAGCAGCAG